TCTGATTACCAATTTTCAAAAAGGGAATTGCAGACATGATAGATGTACCAACATTGATTATAGAAGGGAACTGTCTTCTCTTTAAAGATGTCCATGTGTGAATATTGATACTGACACATTGTGTGTGTGTGTGTGTGTGTGTGTGTGTGTGTGTGTGTAAATTTGAAGCAAAGAGAAATTTTATAAATACATGTTTTATCAAATTCAGCAAATTCAACATGCTCAGAATTTATCAGCAGTGTTGTATTTTAGGAGGTTTCCCTCTCCCCAGTTGTGGTAGAGTTGGGGTTAAAGTAATCCAGAAATGTCCCTCCTATAATATTTCATTCTGGGTTGACCTCCTGCAGCCTTCCACAAAGTTGGAATCTGGCTTGAAGCTAAGTGCCTCTGATATAGACAAAATGCCAGTTTGTATGGGTTTTATTCTTGTTTGGTTTGGTTTGGTTTTTTGGTCTCCTCACAGACTTGCTTCCCATGATGGTTTCTTACCATTCACAAATTCATGGCAGTATGCTGTTGAATATAACTTGTTGATAATCCATATGCATTGTTTATCGTCTATATACAATCATTTAGCGATTTTATTATTAGGGCAAACAAAATTTCCGAATCACAATCAGTGGATTCATACTCAGCTGATCCAGAAGAAAAAGCAGATCCTGCACTTGTAGGAAAATGCTGGAAAGAAAAAAAAAGAATTCAGAGCAAATATTCCCTGGAAGAATCCAGTCAGGTTGTGCAAAAGCAGGAGCATATTGTTCCTAAGTGAGTTCTGTGATATGTTTAACTAGCCAAGTATTTACCTGAAAACATATTCAAGATGAAATGTATGCAGACAAACCTAAACAGATGACAAGTCAGATGGGATGAAATATATATTTTTGTTGACAAGAGAGCTGTAAATATTATTCTGTGTTCTGGGCAAAGAAAGTTGCTAGTCGGTAGCTCATCTTCAGCTCAATAGGAAAGTGAAAAGAAAATTCACAGTTCCCTTGCCAATATGAAGCAATTTCACAAGGACTGATATGAATCTTCTTGAATGGTATAAGATCTGCCAACATTTCAAATCATTATAACTATATTTCCCTTGATGATTGCCATTAATTTTCCATTTCATTCAGTCTGTAATGGATTGTTTCCTTTGGCAACTGAAAGAGTTGATACACATACAGACAGACAGACACACACACACACACACACACACAGAGACAGACAGACACGTTCCTGTTCTGATTAAAAATTATATAGAGGGTTGCTTATGTTGTTAATAGAGAACAGATAAACCAGTTGCTTTACCATGCAGAAATCATGTTATACTCACTTTGAAATCTTTAGAAAGGATACAGATTCATTTCCAAATATATGCTTATTGATTTTAAATTCTGAATAACTTTTATCTCAGAGACCTAAGGCAATGCCTTCTTCTTCAAGGCGTGCCATACTAGATCACATGGAAAGGCATATCTGTGATAACAGTTGCTTCATTTACCTGCCTCATGTGGCCAAGTTTTTTCCATGGAGGAGGTGTACTGTATATGGAACTTTTCTCTTTGTTGGATAGCACTAATAACAATAACAAAGAAAACATCAGTGACTAATTAATAACTGGCAAAATGTATGTGATTCAAAAAGATCTATGAAAGGAATAACATAAGGAAACTATAGGCTGATAACATGCTTACCTACAGTGTTAAAACAAATCTTATCAAAAATGCTACTAAAATTTCACATTTATGTGAATGAATGGAAAATCAGAAATTGGAATCCATATATGGATAAACACTGTAAGAATTTTTTAGCTTTGCCTAAAGAAATGTGGTACAGTAGCAATGTAAAATCACAAACAGTAATGAAACTGAAATGCCAAATAGACAAATCATTAGAAGCCTTCAGAGCGATGCATAAGTATCTAGGCATTTTGCACTTGGATAACATCAACCATGGACAAATTAAAGTAAGTAAAGTAAAGAATACATCTAAATAATGGGAAACTTGTTGAAAACAAAATTGAACAGTGGAAACACCATCAAAGTCATCAATACGTGGACCATATCTGTGATATGAAATAGAATTCTTAACTGGATATAAGATGAACATGTTGAAAAACAATATAAAAACAAGTAAACAGATGACTGTTCAGTATGCATTATATCCCCATAGTGATATTGACAGATTAAACCTGTCGTGCAGAAATGGAGTTTATTACAAGTCGAACAAACTGTTGAAAAAAAATTGTCTGATGTAAAAGACAGTAATGTAATAAAAAGACAAAAAGAATGTTGGCAAAGAAAGTCATTACATGGCTATTTTTGTACAAAGTATTGAGAGAAAAGTGGATAAAGATAAAGCCTGGCAATGGCTTAGAACCAAAACATTTATTTTTAAAAAAGAAACTAAATGTTTAATTTGACTGCAGCTGTGATTTCACATTTTTGTGTATATAGTGTATGTAGTAGTAGTAGTAGTAGTAGTAGTAGTAGNGGTGCGGAGACAAAAGATGACCTTGGGCTTCTAGAAAAGAATGACAACAACACATTCCACAATTCTACTCCTTTCTATTACCCCCTCCCAACTACAACACTAATGAAATAGCATAATGAAATAAGAGAGTGTGGCAGGCCAAAGATCCTAAAAGGGATATAACTGCAGGCCTGACAGGTGGCCTCTCCTCAGAAGAAAAACGTTTCCTGAAAAGAGAATAAGATAAAAGTTAACATAACACAATTAACCACTTCTCCCCGTCCCCGGGACCCTTTGGCTTATCGGGAAACTTCTCGTGGAATTGTTCTACTAATTTCTCCACTTTTAAGTTCCAGCTTTTCACCCAAGTGGCTTCAGACAAAGGGTAACCCTTCCAATACACTAAATACTGTAAGTGACCCCTATTCAGACTGGAGTCTACAATCTTTTCCACCTAGATTGTGTTTCCCCTTCTATCACTACAGGAGGAGGGAAAGCTTGGGTGGATGGTCTTATGCTAGACCCAATTACTGGTTTCAACAAGCTATAATGAAATTCTGGGCCAATTTTCCCTAGACTTCTTGGTAGACCGAGTTGAACTGTAATGGGTTAACTATCTTCACTATTGGGAGTGGACCTAGAAATTTTGGACCAAATTCCTTGCTAGGCATTCTTAATCTTATGTATTTGGTACACACAAAAACTTTGTCCCCCACACAGAGGGGTTTTTGGAGTGAGCAGTGTTTATCAGCTTGCTTCTTGTAGCCGCATCTGCTAGAGCCTTCTTTGTATTCTCCCATCCTTTCTTTAGCGTGTCCATCCACTCATTACAAGACAGTTGGGAGGGATGTTCTCTAGGCAGCTCAGGCATGGCAACAAATTCCATGTTACTGGTAATCTGGAAAACCGTTAATCCCATGCTGCTGTGGACTGCATCATTGTACACCACTTCAGCGAAGGGTAGCAAGTCCGACCAGTCGTCTTGCTGATAGTCCACATAACACCGGATGTATTGTTCCACCACNCCAGTGTTGAAGCATCCACAACATCTGAAGGCAAGTTGTCCCACTGATTGAATGTTCCCGCTGAAATTTCACCTTAGTTCTAAGCTGGTTCTTTCTATACACTAGAAATTAGTAGTCTGAGATATTGAGATTGAGATTCTATGTCCACCCAATTTGTATTTTGCTTCCTTCCTTAACCATCTTTTAAACTTTAATGTTAATATATATTATTTTAATATCTCAATTTTTAAAAATTGTTTTTGCCTTATTATAAGTTATCTAGAGTAGCCCAATGGCCCGATGACTGGCATATAATTTTAATAAATAAATAATAAAATGGCAGAATAAAATGGATCAAGAAAGGGAAACACCTAAGTAGATTCCCAGTCTTGTTTGTAAGACTGATTTATCTTATGTCTATTTCTCTGAGTGATAGGTTCAGTTTACCTTTAGCCTAAATAGATCTTTCCTGTATCTATCAATGTAATGCACTTATGGAATTATTGGTAGTGAATGAGTTAGTTTTCCTTCATGTTTTTCTTTTAACTCTTCATTCACTTTAACTGCATGCTGTGTGAAGATCTTGTTTATGGGCAGAAACTTTCTTATGCTGTCATTCCATAATGCTCCACATTGACTATTCATAATTGTAATTCATCAAGGATTTGTGACATTTTTCTTTTCCATTACTTGCTTCTATTTTTAAGCTGACCATGTTGAGGTAAACCATGAGGAGAATTATGTGTGGTTTTTTTTTTAGTCTATGTGTCTGTCCTTCATAACAAAATAATCCTTGTTTAAATATAAACTCATAATGATAAGCAGCAATAATTGGATTTTATTAAGAAAAAATCTGATACTTCTTTTTTTCTTTTTACTGTAGCTTAAGACTGGAAAGACTGCAGTACTTTTTATATTTTTAAATGTATAATTTTACCATTTTTTTTAAAAAAAACTATGTATGCATAGTATCTACGAATTTATTACAGGTGTTTGTGATTCTTATCGCTTACAGCATAATTCATCCTTATGATCAGACTCACATAGTTTTTTCTTTGTGAAAATATGTGATGGAAAAGTCGTAATTTCTAATACTATTACTATGAAACATTTTAAAAGTGTAGTATTATTACCTCTATTACAATAGGATATTTTAATCTGAATTTCCCCCAACTTCCAAGAAATGAACTGAAAGGCAAAGAACCACATGCCATTAAAACTGACAGGGCAAGCTACTACATATAGTACATATTTACATATATTACTACATATAAGCAAGTTGTTGGGTAATGACACATGAACAACCAAACTACCAAGTTCAGAGAGCAGCAAACATTCTGCAGAACTTAATAACATTTTTTTAAAAAACGAAAATCTATCTGAGCTTGACTAAATTTAGTTTGTTATGTGCATTGTGTAATTCTCATAGAATTAATAGCACCAACTCTTTCAGATGTATAGTGCTATTCAGCTAGTATTTCAATCATTTGTTATGTTGAAGTAATAACTAATTTAATATTCTTTTCACTCTGACAGATATACAGCATATGGCAGTTGACTGGCTTACAGGAAACTTCTACTTTGTGGATCATACCAGTGACACAATCTTTGTATGCAACTTTAATGGAACTGTGTGTGTTACTCTGATTGATCTTGATCTTCATAATCCCATGGCAGTTGCTGTGGATCCTACTTTGGGGTAAGATGCTTAGAATTATAAAATATTTATTTAATATAATATTTGTATCTCCATGTGAAAAAGAAAAGAAATAATTGGCTATTGTGGTTATTTCTCATTTGGAAAGAATAGTTGTTCTTTAAAATTAAATAAAATTTATACTGATTTCAACCAAAAAAATATCTATCTATCTATCTATCTATCTATCTATCTATCTATCTATCTATCTATCTATCTATCTATCTATCTATCTATCTATCTATCTAT